TGATGTTACCAGGTGTGTATGCAGTACCTGAGAGACACGGGGATGATGATGGTGATGGTGGTGATGGTGATGATGGTGGTGCTGGTGATGGTGGTGATGGTAGTGATGGTGGTGATGGTGATGGTAGTGATGATGGTGGTGATGGTGGTGATGGTGATGGTAGTGATGGTAGTAATGGTGGTGATGGTGATGGTAGTGATGGTGATGGTAGTGGTGATGGTGGTGATGGTAGTGATGATGGTGGTGATGTTACCAGGTGTGTATGCAGTACCTGAGAGACACGGTGATGATGGTAGTGATGGTGATGATGGTGGTGATAGTGGTGATGATGACGATGATGGTAGTAATGGTGGTGATGTTACCAGGTGTGTATGCAGTACCTGAGAGACACGGTGATGATGGTAGTGATGGTGATGGTAGTTGTGATGGTGATGATGGTAGTGATGATGGTGGTGATGTTACCAGGTGTGTATGCAGTACCTGAGAGACACGGTGATGATGATGGTGATGGTGGTGATGGTAGTGATGATGGTGTTGATGGTGGTGATGTTACCAGGTGTGTATGCAGTACCTGAGAGACACGGTGATGATGGTGGTGATGATGGTGATGATGATGACGATGATGGTGATGATGATGACGATGATGGTAGTGATGATGGTGGTGATGTTACCAGGTGTGTATGCAGTACCTGAGAGACACGGTGATGGTGGTGATGGTGGTGATGGTAGTTATGGTGATGGTGGTTATGGTGGTGATGGTGATGGTGGTGATGGTGGTGATGGTGATGGTGGTGATGGTAGTAATGGTGGTGATGTTACCAGGTGTGTATGCAGTACCTGAGAGACACGGTGATGATGGTGGTGATGGTGGTGATGGTAGTGATGGTGATGGTGGTGATGGTGGTGATGGTGATGGTAGTGATGGTGGTGATGGTGATGGTGGTGATGGTAGTAATGGTGGTGATGTTACCAGGTGTGTATGCAGTACCTGAGAGACACGGTGATGGTGGTGATGTTAGTGATGGTGATGGTAGTGGTGATGGTGATGATGGTAGTAATGGTGGTGATGTTACCAGGTGTGTATGCAGTACCTGAGAGACACGGTGATGATGATGGTGATGGTGGTGATGGTGATGGTAGTGGTGATGGTAGTGATGGTGATGATGGTGGTGATGTTACCAGGTGTGTATGCAGTACCTGAGAGACACGGTGATGATGATGGTGATGGTGGTGATGGTAGTGATGATGGTAGTAATGGTGGTGATGTTACCAGGTGTGTATGCAGTACCTGAGAGACACGGTGATGATGGTGGTGATGATGGTGATGGTGGTAGTAATGGTGGTGATGTTACCAGGTGTGTATGCAGTACCTGAGAGACACGGTAGTGATGGTGGTGATGGTAGTGATGGTGTTGATGGTGGTGATGTTACCAGGTGTGTATGCAGTACCTGAGAGACACGCTGATGATGGTGGTGATGGTGGTGATGGTAGTGATGGTGATGATGGTGATGGTAGTGATGGTGGTGATGGTGGTGATGTTACCAGGTGTGTATGCAGTACCTGAGAGACACGGGGATGATGATGGTGATGGTGGTGATGGTAGTGATGGTGATGATGGTGATGGTAGTGATGGTGGTGATGGTGGTGATGTTACCAGGTGTGTATGCAGTACCTGAGAGACACGGTGATGATGGTGGTGATGGTGGTGATGGTAGTGATGGTGATGGTGGTGATGGTGGTGATGGTAGTGATGGTAGTGATGGTGATGGTGGTGATGGTGATGGTAGTGTTGATGGTGGTGATGGTGGTGATGTTACCAGGTGTGTATGCAGTACCTGAGAGACACGGTGATGATGGTGGTGATGGTGGTGATGGTAGTGATGGTGATGATGGTGGTGATGGTGGTGATGTTACCAGGTGTGTATGCAGTACCTGAGAGAAACGGTGATGATGATGGTGATGGTGGTGATGATGATGATGGTGGTGTTGATGGTGGTGATGTTACCAGGTGTGTATGCAGTACCTGAGAGACACGGTGATGGTGGTGGTGGTGATGGTAGTGATGGTGATGGTGGTAGTGATGGTGATGGTGGTGATGATGATGGTGGTGGTGATGGTAGTGATGATGGTAGTAATGGTGGTGATGTTACCAGGTGTGTATGCAGTACCTGAGAGACACGGTGATGATGATGGTGATGGTGGTGATGGTAGTGATGGTGATGGTGGTGATGGTGGTGATGGTAGTGATGGTAGTGATGGTGATGGTGGTGATGGTAATGGTAGTGTTGATGGTGGTGATGGTGGTGATGTTACCAGGTGTGTATGCAGTACCTGAGAGACACGGTGATGATGGTGGTGATGGTGGTGATGGTAGTGATGGTGATGATGGTGGTGATGGTGGTGATGTTACCAGGTGTGTATGCAGTACCTGAGAGACACGGTGATGATGGTGATGGTAGTGGTGATGGTAGTGATGATGGTGATGGTGGTGATGTTACCAGGTGTGTATGCAGTACCTGAGAGACACGGTGATGATGGTGGTGATGGTAGTGATGATGGTAGTAATGGTGGTGATGTTACCAGGTGTGTATGCAGTACCTGAGAGACACGGTGATGGTAGTGGTGATGATGACGATGATGGTAGTAAATGTGGTGATGTTACCAGGTGTGTATGCAGTACCTGAGAGACACGGTAGTGATGGTGGTGATGGTAGTGATGGTGTTGATGGTGGTGATGTTACCAGGTGTGTATGCAGTACCTGAGAGACACGCTGATGATGGTGGTGATGGTGGTGATGGTAGTGATGGTGATGATGGTGATGGTAGTGATGGTGGTGATGGTGGTGATGTTACCAGGTGTGTATGCAGTACCTGAGAGACACGGGGATGATGATGGTGATGGTGGTGATGGTAGTGATGGTGGTGATGGTGGTGATGTTACCAGGTGTGTATGCAGTTCCTGAGAGACACGGTGATGATGGTGATGGTAGTGGTGATGTTGATGGTGGTGATGGTGGTGATGGTGGTGATGTTACCAGGTGTGTATGCAGTTCCTGAGAGACACGGTGATGATGGTGATGGTAGTGATGGTGATGATGGTGGTGCTGGTGATGGTGGTGATGGTAGTGATGGTGGTGATGGTGATGGTAGTGATGATGGTGGTGATGGTGGTGATGGTGATGGTAGTGATGGTAGTAATGGTGGTGATGGTGATGGTAGTGATGGTGATGGTAGTGGTGATGGTGGTGATGGTAGTGATGATGGTGGTGATGTTACCAGGTGTGTATGCAGTACCTGAGAGACACGGTGATGATGGTAGTGATGGTGATGATGGTGGTGATAGTGGTGATGATGACGATGATGGTAGTAATGGTGGTGATGTTACCAGGTGTGTATGCAATACCTGAGAGACACGGTGATGATGGTAGTGATGGTGATGGTAGTGGTGATGGTGATGATGGTAGTGATGATGGTGGTGATGTTACCAGGTGTGTATGCAGTACCTGAGAGACACGGTGATGATGATGGTGATGGTGGTGATGGTAGTGATGATGGTGTTGATGGTGGTGATGTTACCAGGTGTGTATGCAGTACCTGAGAGACACGGTGATGATGGTGGTGATGATGGTGATGATGGTAGTAATGGTGGTGATGTTACCAGGTGTGTATGCAGTACCTGAGAGACACGGTGATGATGGTGGTGATGATGGTGATGATGATGACGATGATGGTGATGATGATGACGATGATGGTAGTGATGATGGTTGTGATGTTACCAGGTGTGTATGCAGTACCTGAGAGACACGGTGATGGTGGTGATGGTGGTGATGGTAGTTATGGTGATGGTGGTGATGGTGGTGATGGTGATGGTGGTGATGGTGGTGATGGTGATGGTGGTGATGGTAGTAATGGTGGTGATGTTACCAGGTGTGTATGCAGTACCTGAGAGACACGGTGATGATGGTGGTGATGGTGGTGATGGTAGTGATGGTGATGGTGGTGATGGTAGTGATGGTGATGGTGGTAGTGATGGTGATGGTGGTGATGATGATGGTGGTGGTGATGGTAGTGGTGATGTTGATGGTGGTGATGTTACCAGGTGTGTATGCAGTACCTGAGAGACACGGTGATGATGGTGATGGTAGTGATGGTGGTGATGGTGATGGTGGTGATGGTAGTAATGGTGGTGATGTTACCAGGTGTGTATGCAGTACCTGAGAGACACGGTGATGGTGGTGATGTTAGTGGTGGTGATGGTAGTGGTGATGGTGATGATGGTAGTAATGGTGGTGATGTTACCAGGTGTGTATGCAGTACCTGAGAGACACGGTGATGATGGTGGTGATGATGGTGATGGTGGTAGTAATGGTGGTGATGTTACCAGGTGTGTATGCAGTACCTGAGAGACACGGTGATGATGACGGTGATGGTGGTGATGGTAGTGATGTTGATGGTGGTGATGGTAGTGATGATGGTGGTGATGGTGGTAGTAATGGTGGTGATGTTACCAGGTGTGTATGCAGTACCTGAGAGACACGGTGATGATGATGGTGATGGTGGTGATGGTAGTGATGATGGTGGTGATGGTGGTGATGTTACCAGGTGTGTATGCAGTACCTGAGAGACACGGTGATGATGGTGATGGTGGTGGTGATGGTAGTGTTGATGGTGGTGATGGTGGTGATTTTACCAGGTGTGTATGCAGTACCTGAGAGACACGGTGATGATGGTGATGGTGGTGATGGTGGTGATGGTAGTGATGATGATGGTGATGGTGGTGATGGTAGTGATGATGGTGGTGATGGTGGTGATGTTACCAGGTGTGTATGCAGTACCTGAGAGACACGGTGATGGTGGTGATGGTGGTGATGGTAGTGATGATGGTGGTGATGTTACCAGGTGTGTATGCAGTACCTGAGAGACACGGTGATGATGATGGTGATGGTGGTGATGGTAGTGATGGTAGTGATGATGGTGGTGATGGTGGTGATGTTACCAGGTGTGTATGCAGTACCTGAGAGACACGGTGATGTTGTTTGTGGGAGGCTTGATGGTCGCCATCGCCGTCCAGGATTGCGGCCTGCACCGACGCCTCGCCCTGAGAGTCCTCCTAGCCGTGGGGGTGAAGCCGGCCAGGTGATGGCATCACCACCACCATCATCACTACCACCATCATCATCATCACGACTACCATCATCACTACCATCATCATCTCTACCATCATCATCATCACTACCATCACCACCAACATCCTCACTACGATCATCACCATCACTACCATCATCACCACCATCACCACCGTCATCATCACTACCACCATCATCATCACCATCACTACCATCATCACCATCACTACCATCATCACTACCATCATCATCACCATCATCATCACCACCATCACCATCATCACTATCACCATCACCACCATCATCATCACCACTACCATCACTACTATCACCACCATCATCATCACTACCACCATCATCATCATCACTACCATCATCATCACGACCATCACATCACTACCATCATCACTACCATCATCATCATCACCATCACTACCATCATCATCTCTACCATCACTACCACCATCATCACCACCATCATCATCATCACTACCATCATCACTACCATCACTACCACTTTCACCACCACCATCATCACTACCATCATCATCATCATCACCACCATGACCATCATCACTACCACCATCACCATCACTACCACCATCATCATCTCTACCATCACTACCACCATCACTACCATCACCATCATCATCACTACCATCATCACCATCACTACCATCACCATCATTACCATCACCACCATCATCACCACCACCATCACCATCACCACCACCATCACTGCCATCATCATCACCACCATCATCATCACTGCCATCACTACCATCATCACCATCACTACCATCACCATCACTACCATCACCACCATCATCACTACCATCACTACCATCATCATCATCACTACCATCATCATCATCACTACCACCATCATCATCACTACCATCACTACCATCATCACCATCACTACCATCACCATCATTATCATCACCATCATCACCACCATCACCACCATCACTACCATCACTACCATCACCACCATCACTACCACCACCATCACCACCACCATCACCACCACAACCACCACCACCATCATCAACATCACCACCATCACTACCATCATCACCATCACCACCACCACCATCATCACCATCACCACCACCACTACCAGCACCATCACCACCATCACCATCACCACCACCATCACCACCACCACCATCACCACCATCACCATCATCACCATCATCATCACTACCAGCACCATCACAACCACCACCATCACCACCAACACCACCATCACCATCACCACCATCACCACCATCATCACCACCACCACCACCATCACCACCATCACCACCATCACCACCATCATCACCACCACCACCATCACCACCATCATCATCATCACCACCACCACCATCACCACCATCACCATCACAACCATCATCACCATCACCACCACCACCACCACCATCACCACCATCATCACCACCATCACCACCACCACCATCACCACCACCATCACCACCCTCACCACCACCATCACCACCACCATCACCACCATCACCACCACCATCACCACCATCATCACCACCACCACCATCACCACCACCCTCACAACCACCACCACCACCACCACCACCTTCACTGTCACCACCACGAGTACCCCAATTTTATCCCCCCCCGTCCCCGCCAGGTTGATGATGGGTTTCATGCTGGCCACCGCCTTCCTATCGATGTGGATCAACAACACCGCCACCACCGCCATGATGATGCCAATCAGCGAGGCCGTGTTGCAGCAGCTTCATCAGCATCATCAGCATCATCATCAGCAGCAGCAGCAGCAGCAGCAAGATGATCCTCCTCATCATCATCATCAGCAACAAGATCATCAGCATCAGCAGCAGGAGCTGAAAGATCAGCTGCAGCATCAGCAGCAGCAGCAGCGAGATCCTGATCGTGATGCTGATGATGATCATGTTGCTGATGATGGTGATGATCAGCACGTGCAGATGCATAGCTTTACGAATTTGTCGCTCGAAGTCTCTGTCTCGGAGTTGCAGGAGGAAGTGGAGGTGGTGGTGGACGTCTCAAAAGGTGAGTGGGTGAGTGGGTGGGTGAGTGAGTGAGTGGGTGAGTAGGTGGGTGAGTGGTTGAGTGAGTGGGTGGGTGAGTGGGTGGGTGGGTGAGTGAGTGGGTGAGTGGGTGAGTGAGTGGGTGAGTGGGTGAGTGAGTGAGTGGGTGAGTGAGTGGGTGAGTGAGTGGGTGGGTGGGTGAGTGGGTGGGTGGGTGAGTGGGTGAGTGGGTTGGTGGGTGAGTGAGTGGGTGAGTGGGTGAGTGGGTGAGTGGGTGGGTGAGTGAGTGGGTGAGTGGGTGAGTGAGTGAGTGGGTGGGTGGGTGAGTAGGTGGGTGGGTGAGTGAGTGGGTGAGTGAGTGAGTGAGTGGGTGAGTGGGTGGGTGGGTGAGTGTGTGTGTGGGTGGGTGAGTGAGTGGGTGAGTGAGTGGGTGGGTGAGTGGGTGAGTGGGTGAGTGAGTGAGTGGGTGATTGAGTGGGTGAGTGAGTGGGTGAGTGAGTGAGTGGGTGAGTGAGTGAGTGGGTGAGTGGGTGAGTGGGTGGGTGAGTGGTTGGGTGAGTGAGTGGGTGAGTGAGTGAGTGAGTGAGTGGGTGGGTGAGTGAGTGAGTGAGTGGGTGGGTGAGTGAGTGAGTGAGTGGGTGAGTGGGTGAGTGGGTGGGTGAGTGAGTGAGTGAGTGTGTGAGTGAGTGAGTGTGTGGGTGGGTGGGTGAGTGGGTGAGTGGGTGAGTGGGTGAGTGGGTGAGTGAGTGGGTGAGTGAGTGAGTGGGTGAGTGAGTGAGTGGGTGGGTGGGTGAGTGGGTGGGTGGGTTTGTGAGTGAGTGGGTGAGTGGGTGGGTGGGTTTGTGAGTGAGTGGCTGAGTGGGTGGGTGGTTGGGTAAGTAAGTGGGTGAGTGGGTGAGTGAGTGAGCGAGTGAGTGGGTGAGTGAGTGAGTGAGTGGGTGAGTGGGTGAGTGGGTGGGTGAGTGAGTGAGTGAGTGGGTGGGTGAGTGGGTGGGTGGGTGGGTGAGTGAGTGGGTGAGTGGGTGAGTGGGTGGGTGAGTGAGTGGGTGGGTGAGTTAGTGGGCGAGTTGGTGTGTGGGTGAGTTGGTGTGTGGGTGAGTGGTTGGGTGAGTGGGTGGGTGGGTGAGTGTGTGGGTGGGTGGGTTGGTGGTTAGGTGGGTGGGTTGGTGGGTTGGTGGGTGGGTGGGTGGGTGGGTGAGTGCGTGGGTGGGTGGGTGAATGGGTGGGTGAGTGGGTGAGTGGGTGGGTGAGTTTGTGGGTGTGTGGGTAAGTGAGTGAGTGGGTGAGTGGGTGGGTGAGTGGGTGAGTGGGTGGGTGAGTGGGTGGGTGGGAGGGTGAGTGGGTGGGTGTGTGAGTGACTGGGTGAGTGTGTGGGTGAGTTGGTTGAGCTGCTAATATTTGTGATGGTGAGAGTGACATAGCACCTCAGGTACTGCATACCCACCTGGTACCATCACCACCATCACTGCCATCACCACCATCACTACCACCATCATACTAAGACAATGAACATAGTCTTAGTATGAGTCTCTCTTAGTATGGGTCGCTGGGGGGCTGTACGGGCCTTTCTCTGTGGGTTGCAGTGGGCCACTGGGTATCTACGGGTCTCTGAGTAGAGATCTCTGAGTAGAGGTCTCTGATTAGAGGTCTCTGAGTAGGGATCTCTGAGTAGAGGTCTCTGAGTAGAGGTCTCTGAGTAGGGGTCTCTGAGTAGAGGTCTCTGAGTAGGGGTCTCTGAGTAGAGGTCTCTGAGTAGAGGTCTCTGAGTAGGGGTCTATGAGTAGGGGTCTATGAGTAGATGTCTCTGAGTAGAGATCTCTGAGTAGGGGTCTCTGAGTAGAGATCTCTGAGTAGAGATCTCTGAGTAGAGGTCTCTGAGTAGAGGTCTCTGAGTAGAGATCTCTGAGTAGAGGTCTCTGAGTAGGGGTCTCTGAGTAGAGATCTCTGAGTAGGGGTCTCTGAGTAGAGATCTCTGAGTTGAGGTCTCTGAGTAGAGATCTCTGAGTTGAGGTCTCTGAGTAGAGATCTCTGAGTAGAGGTCTCTGAGTAGAGGTCTCTGAGTAGGGGTCTCTGAGTAGAGGTCTCTGAGTAGAGATCTCTGAGTAGAGGTCTCTGAGTAGGGGTCTCTGAGTAGAGATCTCTGAGTAGGGGTCTCTGAGTAGAGATCTCTGAGTTGAGGTCTCTGAGTAGGGGTCTCTAAGTAGAGATCTCTGAGTAGAGATCTCTGAGTAGAGATCTCTGAGTAGAGGTCTCTGAGTAGAGATCTCTGAGTAGAGATCTCTGAGTAGATGTCTCTGAGTAGGGGTCTCTGAGTAGAGATCTCTGAGTAGGGGTCTCTGAGTAGAGATCTCTGAGTTGAGGTCTCTGAGTAGAGATCTCTGAGTTGAGGTCTCTGAGTAGAGATCTCTGAGTAGAGGTCTCTGAGTAGGGGTCTCTGAGTAGAGATCTCTGAGTTGAGGTCTCTGAGTAGAGATCTCTGAGTAGAGGTCTCTGAGTAGGGGTCTCTGAGTAGAGATCTCTGAGCAGAGATCTCTGAGTAGAGGTCTCTGAGTAGAGATCTCTGAGCAGAGATCTCTGAGTAGAGATCTCTGAGTAGAGGTCTCTGAGTAGAGGTCTCTGAGTAGAGGTCTCTGAGTAGAGGTCTCTGAGTAGGGATCTCTGAGTAGAGGTCTCTGAGTAGGGGTCTCTGAGTAGAGATCTCTCAGTAGGGGTCTCTGAGTAGAGGTCTCTGAGTAGAAGTCTCTGAGTAGAGATCTCTGAGTAGAGATCTCTGAGTAGAGGTCTCTGAGTAGAGGTCTCTGAGTAGAGGTCGCTGAGTAGAGATCTCTGAGTAGGGGTCTCTGAGTAGAGGTCTCTGAGTAGGGGTCTCTGAGTAGGGATCTCGGAGTAGGGATCTCTGAGTCGAGGTCTCTGAGTAGGGGTCTCTGAGTGGAGGTCTCTGAGTAGAGGTCTCTGAGTAGATATCTCTGAGTAGGGGTCTCTGAGTAGAGGTATCTGAGTAGAGGTCTCTGAGTAGGGGTTTAAAATAATACAAATATAAAACAATACAATTATTATTCTTGGTTCTTTCGGTAAAGTCACCACCACGTAGAAGGGAAACAATAAATAATATAAATATATAAAACAATAAAATTCTCACGACGTTTCGACTGCAACACAAGCAATCATCATCAGGTGTGAAAACCACAGCAAGAAAAATTTCTTGCTAGAAAAATTTCTGGCTGTGGTTTTCACACCTGATGATGATTGTTTAATTGTTTTATATTTTTATAATTATTTTATTGTTTCCCTTCTATGTGATGGTTACTTTACCGAAATAACCAAGAATAATAATTGTATTGTTTTATATTTTATTATTTTATTGTTTCCCTTCTACGTGGTGGTGACTTTACCGAAAGAACCAAGAATAATAATTTAATTGTTTTATATTTTTATTATTTTATTGCTTCCCTTCTACGTGACTTTACAGAAAGAACCAAGAATAATAATTTTATTGTTTTATATTCATAATTTTTTATTGTTTCCCTTCTACGTGGTGGTGACTTTACCGAAAGAACCAAGAATAATAATTTTATTGTTTTATATTTTTATTATTTTATTATTTCACTTCTACGTGGTGGTGGCTTTACCGAAAGAACCAAGAATAATAATTTTATTGTTTTATATTTTTATTATTTTATTGTTTCCCTTCTACGTGGTGGTGACTTTACCGAAAGAACCAAGAATAATAATTTTATTATTTTATATTTTTAAATTTTTTTTATTGTTTCCATTCTACGTGGTGGTGACTTTACCGAAAGAACCAAGAATAATAATTTCACTGTTTTATATTTTTATTATTTTATTGTTTCCCTTCTACGTGGTGGTGACTTTACCGAAAGAACCAAGAATAATAATTTTATTGTGTTATATTTTTATTATTTTATTGTTTCCCTTCTACGTGGTGACTTTACCCAAAGAACCAAGAATCATAATTTTATTGTTTTATATTTTTATTATTTTATTGTTTCCCTTCTACGTGGTGGTGACTTTACCCAAAGAACCAAGAATAATAATTTTATTGTTTTATATTTTTATTATTTTATTGTTTCCCTTCTACGTGGTGGTGACTTTACCCAAAGAACCAAGAATAATAATTTTATTGTTTTATATTTTTATTATTTTATTGTTTCCCTTCTACTTGGTGGTGACTTTACCGACAGAACCAACAATAATAATTTTATTATTTTATATTTGTATTATTTTATTGTTTCCCTTCTACGTGACTTTACCGAAAGAACCAAGAATAATAATTTCACTGTTTTATATTTTTATTATTTTATTGTTTCCCTTCTACGTGGTGGTGACTTTACCGAAAGAACCAAGAATAATAATTTTATTGTGTTATATTTTTATTATTTTATTGTTTCCCTTCTACGTGGTGACTTTACCCAAAGAACCAAGAATAATAATTTTATTGTTTTATATTTTTATTATTTTATTGTTTCCCTTCTACGTGGTGGTGACTTTACCGAAAGAACCAAGAATAACAATTGTATTTTTTATATTTTTATTATTTTATTGTTTCCCTTCTAAATGACTTTGCACAAAGAACCAAGAATAATAATTTTATTGTTTTATATTTTTATTATTTTATTGTTCCCATCTACGTGACTTTACAGAAAGAACCAAGAATAATAATTTTATTGTTTTATATTTTTATTATTTTATTGTTCCCTTCTACGTGACTTTACAGAAAGAACCAAGAATAATAATTTTATTGTTTTATATTTTTATTATTTTATTATTTCCCTTCTACGTGGTGGTGACTTTACCGAAAGAACCAAGAATAACAATTGTATTTTTTATATTTTTATTATTTTATTGTTTCCCTTCTACATTACTTTACACAAAGAACCAAGAATAATAATTTTATTGTTTTATATTTTTATTATTTTATTGTTTCCCTTCTACGTGACTTTACACGAAGAACCAAGAATAATAATTTTATTGTTTTATATTCATAATTTTTTATTGTTTCCCTTCTACGTGGTGGTGACTTTACCGAAAGAACCAAGAATAATCATTTCATTGTTTTATATTTTCATTATTTTATTATTTCCCTTCTACGTGGTGGTGACTTTACCCAAAGAACCAAGAATAAAATTTTTATTGTTTTACAATAATTTTCTTATTTTATACATTTAAATTGTATTGTTTCCCTTCTGCGTGGTGGTGACTTTACCGAAAGAACCAAGAATAATAATTTTATTGTTTTATATTTTTATTATTTTATTGTTTCCCTTCTACGTGACTTTACACAAAGAACCAAGAATAACAATTTCATTGTTTTATGTTTTTATT